TCCAGCCCATTGTCGCTCCTGATGTTTCGAATGACTTTCCTCAGCTGCACTTCAACTTGCTTGATAAACACCTTTAGCTTGAGAGTTGCTTCAGAAAGAACACCCATGTAAAACGTGAAAATTCACCAATAATGACAAGAATATACTTGCTACCGCCGATGCTCTCAATAGATGATGGACCACACAAATCAATGTGAATTAATTCTAGTGGTTCAACAACTTTGGTGTTTATAATCGATGGGTGACCTTGACGACTCTGCTTCCCCATGTCACACGCGACACATAAATGTTCTCGATCGTACTTGAGCAGTGGAAGACCTCGAACATGACCTCCGGTGACAAGTTTGTTGATATCCTTGAAGTTGAGATGAGAAAGCCTTCAGTGCCACAGCCAACTTTCGTCAGATTGTGCTTTGGATAATAGGCAGATAGCTAGATTCCCTTTGATGGGTTTGAGGTTCAGCGGAAACATTTCGCCTTTGCGCTCCGACTTGAGAATTACTCTTTTCGTTTTCTTTTCAATTATTTCCGAACCCTCATCGTCGAATGAGACCTTGAGACTGGTACCTCCAACAAGCTGAGATACACTGATGAGGTTATGCTGTAGTCCTTCAACGTATGCGACCATTCTAATCGTAAAATCACCATTTGTTATCATTTCATAGCCTTTTATTGTGCCGAATGAGTTGTTCCCGAACTTGACATTTCCACCGTTTGAAAGAGACCGAAATTCCCTTAGCTCTTCCTTCCTTCCTTTCATGTGATGTGAGCAGCCACTGTCAATATACCATTCTTCGTCGAACTGCTCGTCACTGATAACCTGCAAAAATTAAACAGATTTAGGAACCCAAAGTTTCTTGGGTCCACGTGAGCCTTTCACAGGAACACGAATAGTAAGAGAGATGTCAACAAGATATGTTATTTTTATTAACGTTGTTTCATCTTTCTTTTTAATAGTGAAAACCTTAATTTTATTGGGATTTGTTGCTTTCGGTTTGGATTCTTGTTTAGGCATTTGGACTTTAGGATGATTTTGATCTGTCTTGACTGATGAAACCTTTGATTTTCCTTTCAGATCTGTTGAAGATTTAGGTTTTTGAGTGCAAACAGAATTGAATTTAGAATGAGGTTGAGAGGAATTAGAAGAATTAGAAGAAGTAGAACGAAAGAATTTAGACTGAGATGATTTCTTGACTTGAGATTCTAAGTGACCTTTTTGTTTTTGATCATTAGTGGGACTGAACCTGGAACCTTGATTGCTTTTGCTTTCGGAACTGAACCTTTGCCTTCGGTAGCTTGTGTTCTCTGAACCGAACCTTTGCCTTCGGTTGTCATAATTTTCAGAACCGAACCTCTCATTTCGGTTGTAATTACTTTCTTGCGATCTAACAGTACTTTTCTCTGACTTTGAATTTCTGTCATGATAAGAGAAATGGCCGTTTTGAGATTGCCAAAACTGTTTTCTTTCAGAGAGATTCTTCTTGTATCTCTGATTCCTTTGTTGTTTTTGATTTTTCACTTGCTTCGGCTGACAATGAATATTCGCTTTTTGCTTTTGCTTTTTGTCAGCTGGTTCACCTTGAATTGATGATGTTTCACTTGAGGGAGTGACTTCTTTTGAAGAAACTCCTTTTTCTTCAGGAACATCTTTTGTACCACTAGTACATGGCACGTCGAAGCTATCAGGTTTGTACAATGACTCTGGCACATATCTGCCTTTAGTCTTCCAGGACTTCCTTTCTGACAGACCAACGGTTTCGTCAGCATTGTCGATAGGGGCGGACCAGAAGAACTCAGCACAACCATCAGCATTATCTTCGTTTATAATGGCTGTGAGTTCGGCTGTCTGATGTTCGGTTACACCTGTGACCTTATACACCTGATTTGGAGTCGTACTTACCTTTTGGTATACAACAGCCTTTTCTTCAAGGATCGGGGACTTTTGTTGGGACAGTCGAGCAAACTCCACAGAATATTTTGAAATAAGATTTTTGTGGTTTTCGGGTTTGCTCTTGACAAACTCAGAACAGTCAACTTCATCCTCTACAGAAATTTCACTCATATCATCGTACTCATTAAGCTCAGATGCATTTTCAACATCAATTTTGTTCTCTGAGATCAAGTTGGCATTCAATGAGTCAAACTTTTGTATGGTTTTGGTCCTTAGTTTCAGTTTATCGTTTTCATCCAAAAGCTTTTTCAGCATGTCCTTATGGTCCTTGGACTTTATGAAAGATTCGATTTTGTCTAGACCATACATATATGTCGGATTTACATCCTCAGACGAAACTACACTTTCGCAATTATATGCTTCAGCGTCAATTTCATTCTCCTTAAACTCAAGGAAGAGAAAAATCATGCGATGAATTTTCTGCCCTATTTCACAGTTCAAATGAAGTTGAGTGATATTAGTGTAAAGACGCTTAGCAATTAAACAAAAGACATTTCTCTGTTTCAAAAGTTTCAAATTGTCTCTTTGTAAATAAATATTTCCGTCCTTGGATTTGATTAACTCCGACTCCTTCAGCTCTATCCACATCCTCCGTTCCTCACTCTTTGAAGACACCTTGCTTATTTGATCAGTTAGGTTTGAATTGGTGACCCTTGTTTGAGTTAAACTGCTGTCTAGATGAGAGATTCTTGAATTTACATTTTTTTAATTCTTTTTTGTATGAACTTTGTGGGACTTTGAATGAAATAAAAATAGATTGTACCTTCTTGATTAATTCATCAAGCTCATTAAACTGCACGCTGAGAGGTTTTGATGTGAAGCACAAGTCCTCTCGCTCTTTCATATCTTCATTCCCACCGTCTGTGTTGTATCCCCTCATTTGAAATGCATCCGACACCATCAAGCACTTTCCACCGCTTCCTTCATCTTTCGCAACATAAGCCTTTCCATGAGATGGCTTCCTGACTTCATCATCTTCAGAGTCGGTTGACCAGACTTCCACACCACCGAACTCATCATCCGCTACCGAACCCTGCACAATTAAAGCATTCATTGAAGGGTTAGTGACAGCTTTCTTTCTCTTGATCTCTTCCAGCTTTTTCATTAACACAGTTTCTTCATCTTTCTCCTCATCCTTTTCTGCCATTTTCTTAAGGACACAATCTTTGGCATAGTGGTTCTTTCCTCCACAATAGTAGCAGTTCACACCCGAATCTCCTTCAACTTTCGGTTCTTTCTTTGGTTCTTCTACCTTCGGTTCTTCCCTGACCTTTTCAGAACTATAACTTCCCTGCCAATTTCGGTTCTTATTGGTAGGAAACCTTTTCTTGATGAACCTCTTCGGGTTTGACACCATCATTGCATAGTCTTCAGAGGTAAGGTCATAGTCTTCTAAGTTAAGGTCTTCATCTTCCACCATACCTTTGCTATTGGACAGAAGGGCCAATGATCCCAAGCTTGAAACCACATTTTTCTCCTGCAAGACAATCTTTTCTTGGGATCTCAAAATCCCTACCAACTTTGCCAATGAGTAAGATTTGAATTGCTCATGTGCTTTAACAGTGGACACAACCGCTCTCCACTCAGATCTAAGACCGTTTAAAAACGTAACCTTTTGTTCAATCAACTTCCTTTCAATATCATGTTCAATCATCTTACTAAGAAGATGATTGAAGCGATCGAACGTCTGAGTAACAGTTTCTTCAGGATTCTGCTTGAATTCACCAAACTTAGACAAAAGTAAGGTTTGAATGGAATGCTCGAGATCTTCGTCTGTGGAATATAACTCTCGCAGCCTATCCCATATTTCTTTAGCAGTGCTGCACGAACTCACTAGCCTCAAAGTATCAGATTGAAGAGCGAAAGATTTTTTTCAAAGTACGTGTTATGTGTGCATATTTTCTGTATATTTGCTATCTATGTTGGATGAACGATTTTATACAAGTTTTAAATGATTTAAACTGTATATGTATTTATATCTACATAATATGTTGGGTAAAACATGGGTAGATGAAATATGAGTTGAATGATGAGATGAGAAGGTGATATAGACCATGAGATAAAGGTGAGAGGTGAATAATGAGAGAAGTCTTTTACCGAAGTGTTGTCCCCGTCATCTATTAGAGTATGGATGACAACCACATACTACTCTAGACAGTCCAGTGAAACACTAGCAGGCTCGCAACCTGTAGGTGTTGTGAACGATGTGTTCACTCGGTGTACTCTAAAAACCAATTGACATGTACTGCGAGTGGACTCTCGAAAACAATACTTTCAATAAATGAGATAAACCTGGGCGACTATACAGACTTAGTGCCCGAATCCTGGCGACTGTGCAGACTTAGTGCCTAAACCCTGGTGAGTATGCAGACTTAGTACCTAAACCCTGGCAACTATGCAGACTTAATGCTTGTTGTATAAACCCTGGCGACTATGCAGATTTAGTGCCTAAACCCGATGGCGATGGACTTCGTGTCGATTCCTTAGGATGATCCTTAGGAATGAATGAACGAGGAATAGCTAATTCTTAGGATAAATCCTTAAGAGTAAATATGATAATGGGGATGGGTAATTGGGTTAATTGTTTGATGAATAAACATAATAATTATATTATTGTGGGTTGAAAACCCTATGTACTCACCGGGTTACCCAACCTAACCCACTCCAACTTATTTGTATCACAGGTGTCGATATGAATTTACGTTACACTGAGAGATTAAAGAGATGTACATCACTAGTGTAAATGAATGTAAGTTCTGTTTATGCTTATGTTTCTGTATTGACGATGATATCCCAAATGTTTAAAAATGAATAAAAATACATTTATTCGGAAATGCTTTGATAACGTATTTATCATGTTTTTCTAGGAACAAATTCCGCAACATTTTTATTAAAAGAAGTACTCTGATTTTTATAAATCATAAACGAAATCGGTCTTTTCTGGCTGCGAAAATGGGGATGTCATAGTTTCCCGGTGAATAGAATGATGTTAGTGGATGAGCAGTTTGAGCTTGCGGAATAGTATAAGGATAAAATTGAGTACAAGCGTATGAAGTTTCGTTTCCATGTTGTACTTGGGAAGAAGGAAGAAGAGATATGGTCATTGGTCAAGATAGTTCGGGTTCTGGGTATAACCAAAGACGTTTTGTTCGAGGGAATGCTACAGAATTATCGATATCATGCAGTCCAAGCAAATAACGTTACATTTGACTTCTTAGTTACATACTTTCCGCTAATGAATCTTCATGATTTATTAGTTATGGCTTTATCATGAAGAGTGTTGATTTAACGAAGCTGCAATTGAAGAACAAAGAAGATTTTTCGAATGCTTTTGCTCATATGAAGGTTTTTATTGATGGATACTATAGAGCTTTAGCCTTAACTAATGTTGAGTTGGCTATGTCTTTGGATAAGGAGATCACCGTTCCACAAACTATGCTTTTAAGTACAGTTAGTTAAAAAACTCAAAGATGGTGAGATCAGCTTGAAACCCTTAGGAATTGTTTTTGTTGGAAAAAACAAGAAGGGCAATAATACTAAAGTCCTGTATCAAGCGTGTGATGTTGAAAGGTATACATCGCTACATTACACAAATCTCATGGTACGTATGAACAGCTATGCCAAGAACAACGATAAGGAGAAAGCTGAGATTTGGAAGATCATAAAAATGGTATGGTAAGATTCGAAGGGGTATTTGTCACACACCCAAACCAAGGATGGCGGAAACGTCCGGGGGTGGAGGACTTCATGTAAAGTATCACAACAACGAGTATAATAGTGCTCAAAGTAAATACAACCATCACAAATATAATTGAAAAAGTTTCATCAAAGTATATGTTTACATGATTCACATCAATTACATTATGATACAAAATGAACTGTTTGAAGAATTATTGTCCCATCCTCAAAACGTTGTTGATTTCCTGTTTCACTGAATTCCTGAGAATACAAGTAGTTTTGAAAAAGTGTCAACACAAAGGTTGGTGAGTTCATAAGAGATTTCGTTAGAGAAGTAAACCGTTTTCCTTGTAAAAGCGTTAGAATATGTATCGAAAAAATCCAATATTTTCTTTAAAATCTGTGTAATGTAGTCTTATAACCGAAGACCAAAATGTATAAGTAACCTCTCTTACTAATAGAAAATGATATGTGTTTAAATCGACATAAACACGCTTGAATTAAATGAAATTCCCGTAAATTCTTATGTTTGTTAATACTTTATATATATGTAGTCCTAAATCCCAGGACCGAGAAATAACAAGTATTGGCCATACTTAAAGATATAAATGTGGTTTCAAATGATGTGTAGTCATAAATACCAAAACCGAAAGTGTACAGTAATATCTGTACTTATTGACATAAAAAGTGATTTTAAATCAACATAAAACCCATTTAGGTTCTATAAAAATCCCGTAAACTTTATGTATTGTTATCTCCCTATGTGAGTCGCTATAACCATACTATGACTGAATGAACCTGCCACGACGTTTCTCAGGCGTCGCGAAACTGAAATGACATTTGTCACCCGTAGACCTGCAGGTCCCACTGTAGCTAGCAGCAAGGTGTGGGGTGTCAAACCCAATATAGATATATACACAACTATCACGTTCTCCCTCCAGGAGACTTTGATTATAACCACCACGAATTAGATCCCACACTCAGACGTACGGAAAGAGATTGTCTCACAATTTAGGTTAACAAGTTTACATGTTGTGTGCGTGAGTGTAAAACCTTTTTGTATGAATGTACCCTTTTTGTACGAGTGTGTTATGTATGTATCATAAACTATACCTATTATAGTTTATCCAAAACGTTTGTAATATATAAGAACTCTTTATGAAAATGCATTAGTGTTATGAGTCCATTAAACTATGTTTATTATGGCTTAATATACGTGTTCTAAATGAATGAACAATCTTATCATGAATGACTAAGTTTCAGTTTATGATGAGAAACTAACAAGGAAACACATTCAATAATTATAACTTATGGTATTACGCTTTGCTCAACATAATACAAAGTGTTATGAAATTTATATGCTGTTAACTAAATTTAACCTTTCTGCGTTGTTTTAGAAAAGTCTTAGAAAAATCATACGAAGTCAAAAACTGAATCCGTAAATTCTGAGAGTTCCCAAAATGTGTCTAGTTTACTCATAATTTTTATCATGATTTTTAATGACCTCCAACTTGGGTGAAAAAGTCCATAATCACAGATTGGTCCGAATTGGTGTTTGAAATGATAGGCAGTTTTGTAAAGATCACCATAAATTGTAGAAAAATCGTATGGAGATTTGCAAGTAGTCATTTTAAATCTAAGAACCTGAACTACTTTCACCTTGTACATTTTTGAAAACAAAAATGTTTAAGTTGCCCAAAACTGTCTGTGAATGGAGTCGAACATTTCTGATGAAGGTTGTTAGAAAAGTTTAGTTATGTTCTTGGTGATTTAACTTGTATTCCCCCCTGAAAACTTGAGAAAACATGAAAATGTAGGGGTATGAACTCACCTTGACTGATTTCAGAAGATGGATGATGGAGAAAAGAAGTGTTCAACTCAAGAACACTTGGGAGGTGCTTGAAGATTTGAGGAGCTAACAACAAATATGACGATATTTGTGTAAGAAATCAACAATTTTAGTAGAAGGAAGTGAGATAATCACAAGGAGGATGTTAATACTAACAAGGAAACACATTCAATAATTATAACTTATGGTATTACGCTTTGCTCAACATAATACAAAGTGTTATGAAATTTATATGTTGTTAACTAAATTTAACCTTTCTGCGTTGTTTTAGAAAAGTCTTAGAAAAATCATACGAAGTCAAAAACTGAATCCGTAAATTCTGAGAGTTCCCAAAATGCGTCTAGTTTACTCATAATTTTTATCATGATTTTTAATGACCTCCAACTTGGGTGAAAAAGTCCATAATCACAGATTGGTCCGAATTAGTGTTTGAAATGATAGACAGTTTTGTAAAAATCACCATCAATTGTAGAAAAATCGTATGGAGATGTGCAAGTAGTCAATTTAAAGCTAAGAACTTGAACTACTTGCAAATTGTACAGTTTTGAAACCAAAAATGTTTAAGTTTCCCAAAACTGTCTGTGAATGGAGTTGAACTTTAATGATGAAGGTTGTTAGAAAAGTTTAGTTATGTTCTTGGTGTTTTAACTTGTACCCCCCCCCCCCTTGAAAACTTGAGAAAACATGAAAATATAGGGGTATGAACTCACCTTGAGTGATTTCCGAAGATAGATGATGGAAAAAAGAAGTGTTCAACTCAAGAACACTTGGGAGGTGCTTGAAGATTTGAGGAGCTAACAACAAATATGACAATATTTGTGTAAGAAATCAACGATTTTAGTAGAAGGAAGTGAGATAATCACAAGGAGGATGTTAACAGTTACCAAAAGTAGAAGAAAAGTTTGGAGTATAGCCTTGAATCTCGAATTTTTATAGAGAGAAAGTGAGAGAGAAGATATGTTTGATCTTTGGTGGAAGAATGAGAAAATGCGAGAAGTGTGAGGAGAGAGGAGACTTTTCTAGACTTTGACCAATTGTGAGGTTGGAAAAAGGTGGGAAAAGTACAATGAAGTGACTAGGTAAGGGTTGATGGTGAATAGTGACATGGAGTGGGTATGGGAGTTGCTTGTTTCATAATACAAAGAAGAGTCAACACTCAACCTTTGTACTTCACCCACTCTTCTTGGATAAGGTTTTATCTTCAAAAATATGATTAATCATTATTTAAGGGTCCTTAAGCCCTTTTTGCCCGTTCTTGCCCCGTTTTAAGCGGTTTTTGACCTGGTTAAGGGTCGGGATTGCCCGAAAGACTATAAAAAGTTTAAGGAACTTTTGAGAGAGATTTGGGAGAGATTTCACATACTTAGAGGGATTTGGGAGAGATTTGACATACTTAGAGGGGTTTCTCATACAAAGAGAGATTTGGGAGAGATTTGACATTATTGGAGAGATTTCTCATACAAGGAGAGATTTGACATACTTAGAGGGGTTTCTCATACAAAGAGAGTTTTGGGAGAGATTTCACATACTTAGAGAGATTTGGGAGAGATTTGACATACGTGGAGAGATTTAGGAGAGATTCTAAATAGAGAGAGATAGAGTGAAAACGATTGAGAGAGGTTTTGTGTGTGGCATTTGTGAGTGTCCGGCTTCGCCACGCAAGGTCCGTAAACCCTGTTAAGCATTGTTTAAGGATCTTATACACTCCCGATGAGTATGCAACATTGTTTTATCGGTTTGGCTCGCCATGTACCACAGTTTTAGGTAAGGGAAATCTAGATGTTCGCCCTTTTTGATTTATGATCTCCCATTAGAATAGCGAGTGGTATAGTATTTACATAATGTAAACTCTAGTACTCACAGCCAAATTGAGTCGGACGGTTTGATTTGTTGACTTTAGTTGACTTTGACTTGACCGAAAATTGACGGTTGTCACATCAAGTATTTCTAAACTATAATAAGTATAGTTAGGTTGACGGTTGTCACTTTGTAACGTGTCGAGCAAAGTGTTAAATCTTTGATAACTTCATATATTACATGTATTTCTCGTAGTGGTACAATTATATAATAGAAAAGCACTCACTAAATTTATAAGAATCCTCCATCATAACCATTAGTACAAAACAAAGCAAGACAAACATAGCTATATTGTACTATACATTTGACTTACATAGAATGGGTTCTTAAACACCACAAATAAACATACTAAACTATAATAAGTATAGTTAGGTTGCATATACGTTCCAAACATTTTGATAAACTATAATGATACTCTACATGAAGTCCTCCACCCTCGGACGTTTCCGCCATCCTTGGTTTGGGGGTGTGATAGATTGGTATTAGAGCATTGTTTATAATGAACTAAGTATATCGAACCGCATAAGATATACAAACTATAAATGCATTGGGACTAAGTTCTCTGATTTAAAGTTTTCAAAACAACTATACTTTTAGAAATAAATAGTTTCTTATTAAAAGTATACATGCATACATACATACTAAGGTCAACATCATTCTAGAACAAAACAAAAGTAATGATTGTTGGATATTACAGGTAAATTCGGGGATGTATGGTCCGTATTGGGAGTGGTATAGCCTGATCAACTATGCTGGTCTGAGGAGTGATTAGCACATGCCCAAGAATAGTTGTGATATGGCAACAAGTCTAAAAACTTACCAACACTACCACAATGAGAACATTAGAACAGAACATGAGTGTAAAATACTATAGAAGTATTTTGTAATATCATAACTTATATAAAAACTAAATAGATCCTTAATAATAGTTCTATAGTCCCTAAGTGGATACTCTAATGTTATATATAACTTAGAAATCATAGACTTAGAACTTGTGGTCATTACCTTACTTCCTTTTCCTTGTTTGGATGTGGACCTAGGGTGGGATCACTTATTCGAAGGTCTATCGTATCTTGTTATATGTAATTAGTATGGACTATGTCATTATAGAAGTAACTGATAAGGACCCCCCCTATAAGTAATTCATTATAGAGTTAGACGCCTAGTAATTATCTCTTCTGCTCCTATTCTCGCAAGTACAGCATAGCAATATCCTACTTACTGGATGACCCTTACTTTCCTAATCCGAACTCGAGGAATGGTGAATGGTTATGAGAAGAATTAGAAGCGGAACC